CGATTTCACGAACGATATACAAACGAAAAAAACCAACAAAAAAAACCGAATGGTTACTAAAAGTTGTAAAATGACCAATATATTCAGGAAATTGGAGGAGACTCTGCATTTCCAATAAATCTATAGAACTCAATATCTAAAGCCTGTTACTTACAAAAACTGTAAGTCGTAAAAAGTTGAAAGTACAAAATTATAAGAAAAACATAATTTTTGACTCTTAATTTAAAAAAAAATTGTGCAATGGCCACTGGCCAAGTAAGTCTAAAGAAATTGAGTTTTTGCCACAAACTCTGATTTTTAAATCTCTATATCTATGCAGCAGCTGATTTCGTAGACCTTTAATATTTCAAACTATGATTGTTCTTGTAGTTTAGTTGTAGTTGATAGTTTAAGTTTGAAATATGAAAGGTTTACACAATCAGGGATTAGCAAATTTAGGCCTAGGTGGCAAAACCTCAATCCCTTTTGACAAAGATATGACCTATTGCGTACAAGTCGAAATTAAAGGTTGGTAAAAGATGCATATAATTTGAGGCAAATATAAGGCACAGCTGATTTTGTTATGAACAGTGTAAATTATTTGAATAATTTGACGTGTGTGATAAGAAGTATATGTAGAAATAGTATTGAATGAAAACTAGGATTGCCTATAAGATTTCGTTGCGCGGAATTGTTCAAAATTGCGCAAAATTGCGTGGAATCGCGCTAAATTATATGGATCGCGTTGCGTGCAAGTAAAGTCTTTATGCGTTGAAAACCCTAATAAAAACTAGATAAAAGAAAATAATATGATTTTGAATTCTACTTAATCAAGAACTTAATGACCCAAAAACTAAAATAATAATTATTGAAAAGCTTTTTTTGACCTTGACATTTTTATGAAAACATTTTATTTGCCTTTTTAGCTCATACATGAGTCAAGTGTGATAAACCTTATCTCAAGATAATAAATAAACTAAATGTGTCAAAAAGTAAACTTGAAAATATCGGCGAAAGTAACATTTTGAAGAAATTTACAATCTTGTGAAAATAAATGCTTAAAGGGAGTGTAACTACAAGGATGGCAAAGCCCGTCTTATAAAGATACCCTTACCATGCTTTGTATAATCAAGTTTGAATGTTTACCATTTTTTAAATTGATTATTTTCAACTGTAGTTTCTCTATAAATGTCAACCGCATGAAAAGCAGCATATTGGAATCATCACATTAAATACTTTTTAAGAGAAAAACGACAATATCTCTTACATTACTGATCAGATAAAGGTTTCAACTATACCATGTGAATCTGACATTGCCATATTTGCAAGGAGATTGGAGGGTCAATTACGCTTACTCCTTAACCTTATAAAGACTGGTGTGTCTATGTATAGACGGGGGGAGGGGGGGATAGGTTTATGGTTGAAATGCATGTTCATAGCCCAAATTTTTAAGGCCAGCTCCCTGAATAAAAAAAAATTGGTCGATAACTTTTATAGTTTGGGTTGAAAAAAATTCCAAAAGGTGAAAAAAAATTATTTAAAATAATTTAAAAAAAAATGTAACTCATGTTTCTACATCCATTTTTCAGGGGCTTTTCAAAAATATAGTTTTTAGATCTTCAGCTTTAGTCATAAAAAAGTTATGTGCTATTTTAGATTTTTTTTCACAGACCGGACTTTTTACCAGCCTGTACCCTACCCTATGCATTTAAAAAAATTCGAAATCCGTAAAATTTCTATTTATTAAAAGTCAAAAAAATTTCGGGGATAATGTCAAAGATGATAGTGCTAGGGCAAAAAACTAGAGGGGGCGGCAAACGCCCCCCCCCCTTGTCTCCCCCCCCCAGCCTGTTAAGGGTTAAGAGTTAAACAGCTTTGCTTCTATTATTAGGAAGATGTTAGTGTAATATGAACAACGGGAGAAAGACCAACCATAACAATTTATCGTCCGAGCCACATTCTTCTCATTTTCTCGTCCGAGCCACCTCGAAATCCTCGTCTTTCAATATTGTTTTTCCAAGTGTCTAATCCTACCAGATAAAACTATTGTTTAAGAAAATTTTAATTGAATTAAAAATGTTCACCTTTTTTACGTCCATTTTCAGATATTCCTATTGTGGAATTTGCCGCAAATAATTCCGAGTTTTTAGAACTTATATATTTTTTTGTTAATAAAAGTGAAAACCATAAAATTTTCCGGGTGGTTCCATTGGAAAAAATGATAGGCAGAGGTATGCCGAATATTTTGCTATTTAATTTATATCGCGAAGGTTAGCCATTACGGAGGCAGAAGAGATTTAAGTTTTACCTGAATAAAGTTTGTCATCATTCTCATGGGTTTGAAGTTTCCAAGATGATTGCAATCATTGCAATCATCCATATTTTAAGCTCTAATGTGGCCAGATTTTTATGAAAAATTTCATTCTCGAGAATTGGAAACTTTTGAATATGCGACGAGGATTCCGAGGTGGCTAGGACAAGAAAATGAGGAGAATGTGGTGACTCGGACTAAAAAATGTTGTGGGAAGGCCTTCCTTCCCTCTATAAACAGTCACATTATAATAAAAGATTCCTTTTTGTTATTTTTGTGACTTTTAGAATCAGCAATTTTTTTTATTTTGTTATGCATTTTATCCTAAATAATTTCCCCGCAGAATTGCAATATTAGAAATATTTTTGGCTTTTTAGTAAACAATGAATTATGTATTTAAATATAATATTAAAAACTAGATGGACAACCCGGCGTTGACCAGGTTTATATTTTTTAGCCTAATGAGCTATTCTCCCCTTGGGGTACCAATATGGGTTCTCCCAAAAAATGTCAGCAAATTTAGCTTTGCTGTTTTATGACTTTTTATAGTCCAAAGAACATAAGGCATAGCAATTGTGCAGTGTAAATAGACCCATTTTACTCAACAAATGATTAAATAACTTAATTGTATAAATAACTATGAAAAACTGAGACTGCTCTGATTATTGCTTTATAGTTTTAAACATAAATTCTTCAATAAGAATTTATCAAGTTTAAAGAATAAAAATTTAAAATGTGAAAGATGAAAATATAAAAGAACGAATGTAGCAAATGCCGTACTCTTAAAAGTTCCTCCCCCACCTGCCTCTAAATGCCACACAGCCACACATTCGTAGTTTATCAATCTAGCTACCACCCAGGTAACAAAAGTGAGGAATTTCTCCAAGTTTTCCGGTTTTGGTGACTTGCTTTGATGAAATTCTGGGGAATTTTCTGGAATATTTCTCCAGAAATTCCTGCGAATTTTTTAAAGAATATTTCCGGAATATGAGAACTTCACAGGACTTAGTCACCAATTTTACAGATTTTTTGAAGAACTGAACCAGAGACATTAGTCTCAAGAAATTCATGAAAATTTTTAGGAATTTTTCTCTAGAAATTCCTCAAAATATTTCTTCGAAAATTCCTGAGAAATTTTTTGGATTTTATCACCAATTTTACAGAATTTCCAAGCTCTACTTTTCTCCAATAGGTGTCTCTGAGGTTCCCTTCTATTATACAGATAATTTACTTTAGAACCATCTTTTAAGAAAAATATTTTGGAAAAATTGTAAATTTTTTTTCATTTTTTCTTGATTTTTCAGTTTACTGAAAAAAATACATGACAACTTCAGTGAGATCAACAGCGACTATAACGTTCTGAAATAGGAAGATGGTTGGAGGGTCAATATAGATAATTGTTAAGATATTCAGTACTATTGGGTCTAAGTCTTGGTTAGTGAATTTACTCAGGAATATACTGAGAAACTCTTGAGAAAATCTTGGGAATAGTTCCCAGGAATTGGTTAGGAAGAACTTTTCTCTGGAAATTGCCAAAAATTTCCACATTTTTTGTCAATATTTTTTCCGGTTATTCTCCAAAATTGGTAACGAAAAATTCCCTGGAATTGGTAACAAGAAATTCCTTGGATAGGGTTATGAGAAATTCCTCTGAATGGGTTACAAGAAATTCTTCAGAACTGGTAATGAGAATTTTTAAAGTGAAAACGCAGCGAACTCCGGTGGGCGGTTGGCTCAATTCCAATATTTATTACCCCTCGCTTACATTCCCTTTCTTTACAAATGTAAATTTGTGAATAAACATGGTAGAGCATAAAACTGTTGATGCAGAACGATGTAGAGGGAATATATGCTTCTATTTACAAGGTAACCGTAACCTTCAGACTTCAGGAAATTCAATGTTAATAAATCAATTATTATATCAACTAATAAATAATAATAAATCAATTATTATATCAACTAATAAATATTACTTAATCAATGTATCTACAGATATATCTGTTACTTTATAACTCTATTATGTTTTAATAAAATGTTATTGTGAGCTAAGTGACATTTTTATATATATAAAGTATTAATTGTTACACGTCTTTTTTTAACTTCAAGTTTGCATGTAAGAAAAGAGACTCTTCTTATCTAAGCTGTTTAAAAGGTTTATGTAAATCAAAATTGAAATCGAAAGTCTCCTTATTTGATACTATGCTGAATGGCCCGCTGTTGCCCGTGGGAAAAAAATAAATAAAAAAACTGTTTTGAAAAAAATTGTTGATTGTTTTTAGCTTATAAAATTCCCCGGGCACCCATAAGTGTCCACAAAAAATTCAGCCTATTCGGTTCAGCCGTTTTACCGGCTATAGGCAACATATATCTCCTACCACCACCGCTGTACTAAAAACAATTTCTATTTTTCCACATTTTCCATGTCTTTCTGTGCAAATCAAATTTGCATTATTTAAAGAATAATGAAAATAACCTAAATTCTTTGAACAAGGTAAAATTCAAATATTGGATGAAATTGAGTACCTTCCATTAGAAATATCTATATTCTATAATATAAAATATATTTTTTTGTATTAATTCCAAATGATGCTTTTTGTAATAAAGCGAGCCTAGGTGCTTGTTAGCGCTCAGTTACCTGTGTATAAACCTAGCGTTAGATGAATTGAATGAGAAACCACTGGTTGAAGGAGAGAGGAGAGCTCCGATTCCAGGTTTAGTTTAGTATCCGTCCATACTCCGGGTAGTGAACAGTATACAGGGTATCCGTCCCGTCTTCTAAAATACAGTATTAAGTACACACGCCGGTTTAGTTATACTCTCCACGGTGTAACAGCGCGCAGGAGGATTGGAGAGAAGTGAGATTACAAGTGAATTGTGTAAAACGTGATTTATTTTTAAGGATGACCTTAACTTCAGTCAGAGAAATGTAAGGCAAGGTAATTTAATAAAACCATTTTTAGACGGAATTTTATTTTAATTGAAAATTTTGATATTTATGATTCGCAGATCGACGTCGGCCAGCTTTGATGGTTTACATACATAAATTTGCTTTTATTCATATTTTTTATATGTGATTCTTTTTTACAATTATACGCATTAGTTGCAGGTTTAAAAAAGATTTTCATTTTTTTCTCTCTTCTAATTTTGTCTATGTAAATACTTTAAAAATGTTTTGTTTTAAAATCAATGCATTCCTTCAGCACAGTTGACACACGTTAAATATAAGAAAGTTTTCCCGGGGGCGGGGCAATTATTATCTAAAATATTTTGCCGCAGTCTTTAATCCAAAAACTTTCATTGCTTTAGTAACTAACTAATTCATCAAACACAGATGTTTAATCTAAAGGGACTGTAAGTGTTATTCCCTGCATAGTCTGATTCACAACAGCACCCTTAATATCTATGTCTGATGAAATATAATTTAAATATTTATGTTTATCATTTTACAAGTGATTTTTTTCTAAAGAAAAGGGGCTTGCGCATTTCTACTGCAGGAAAGCAACGTATTAGAATGATCAAAATAAAACACTTTAAAACTTAGGAAAACTACAATTTATCTTCCACAATGTTTATCAGATGAAGGTTTCAAGGGTACCGTTGTGAATTGTATTGATTTTGCATGAGAGTTGCCTAAAATTGAACTTAAAATTCCTCTAAATGTGTTTATTTAAACATTTGATTACCTTATCTCAATTAAAATATATCAATGTGAAGTAAAATCAAAAATAAGAATTAATCAAATAGAACTGAAATTTCATATTTCTCCACAGACCTCTGATTGTTTGTCATTTGCTTTTATATATAAAACTTATGTATAGAGGGTGGTTCATAAGGTTTCAAGCTGGTTTTGGTATTAGTCTCGTAGAATACCTTAGTAAAAAGGTAGGGAGGGTTAAAGAAAGGGGGGAAGGGGTAAGAATCAATATATCTTTTGGTTATATTTGGAAAGGATTGAAAAGCTAAGAATTGAATTCCTGAGAATGTTAACTAACACGATTTAGATCCTGCCTCTCCTATATCACTTGAGATAGCCAGGCAGCCTTAAGCAACTTTAGAAACCACAAACCCCTGTAAACCAACTCTACATTCTTTAACAGGAGAGAAGGGTCTATACGGGCTCAGTCCCCACCCCTCATTGATCATGGAAATCTTTAAAAGCTATGGTTTCAGAGGGACTTTTGGGGCCCAAATGGGCGCCAAGCCCCCCACCCTGAATACACCCCTGACTAAATTCTTTAACCATATTTAACATATTTGCAAAATAACACTTTCAAAATGTCTCGTTATATTTTGAACCCTAAAGCTCCCTAGAGATATTGTTCGTTTTTTTTAACTACAGATTTCAAAGCTGAATTCTTTTAAAGTTTAATTTATAAATAGGCGCACATTTTTTTATCCTAAAAAATGTAAACTTTTCAAAAAGGATCTAATTGTGACAGGTTTGTTTCTAATTTAATTTTTGTATATCTTTTCTGTCAGGGTCGGCAGAGGTGCTATATAGTACACAACAAGTAATTTCTCTATATATACAATATGCCAACTTTTGACCCTTTAAAAACATATAGGCAAAAAAAAAGAACCAACAACGAATACTACTATATTACCCAAAGTTATAATGCAAGGAAAGTTAATTGCTTTTGCTAATACTCTGAGTACATATTGAAACCAGTTCTCCTTGGGCGGAATTTGTAAACAAGAATAGATGCATCAGTGTTCGTTTTATATTTGTAAAATTTTGATAATTCACATAAAAGTTTCCTATGGTACCAGAATATTTTATTGATTTTATGTGAACAATGGATCGCATGTCAGGCTGTGACATCCGTCTTGTGTTTACATTATTGCCCAGAGACCGTACACTGCAGTACAAAAAACAAGACGGATAAAAGCATTAAATTTGGAAAATTTTGATAATTCATATAAAAGTTTATGACCAGAATATTTTAATGATTTTATGTGAAAGATGGATCCCATGTCAGGCTGTGACATCCATCTTGTGTTTACATTATACCCAGAGACCGTTCACTGCAGTACAAAAAAAATGCGTACACTTCCATGAAATAACTTTCCTTGCATAATAACCTTGACTATACACCCTTTTAGACAGCTTATGAATGCATGTAATTAGTATTGAAAATTCGAAAAAATAATTTTCAGAAGAGAAAAGGGCGCAGTCACCTAAAATGAACTGTATATATAGATAGCTGTTGGTTTAGGTTACAATTTCTGTCAAACTGATAAGAATCTGGAAAATGCCGTTCACATCTTTTTTATTCTTTCAAACCAACATTCAGCACCACTCCCATTTTCGCAGTTGTAGATAATTTTGATCAAAAATAAACGTTGATTCTTGAATTCTAAATTATATTCTCAAAACTCAGAGAACTTTTACAAAGATGGATATTTCAGAAAAACTAATCTTTTTTTCAAGATAACTCTTAATATCAGTTTCATTGCTGTCGTGATTGAACACATATTTTCCAAAAAAAACTGTATTTACGCATAGGATAGAATAGAAAACGGTAATACGACTATGATTACACAAAATAACTTTTTATTATTTAAGCTTATGCATTTACATTTTACCCACTTAAAAGGCCTGGAAAAAAATAGATGATTTTACAAAAATATGTCGCTTTTGATATTTGTCAAACAATTACCGACATTTTTTTTTTAAATAAGAAGTCTAATATTAAGTAAAATGCCATGAATATTCAATGTTTTAAACCAGCAGATATTTATCAATTATTTTAATATATTTTCACTTGTTACTAAAGTTGTCAATAATTGTTTAATCAAGCTTAAAAAGGCCATATCCATCCCATATGCAGATTTACAAATGTGAGTTTTTTCTCTTATATACATTTTTTATCAGCGAAAGCGTTTTTAAAAAAATCTTTAAATCTAAAGATTGTTGAATTATAGATTGCCTTCAAATTGTAAATACCGAACACATCTATTAGACCAGGGTGCCCCCCTCCCCCTCTCATCCCCCCCCCTCAGTCCGTTGATATGTCTCTTCTGCATAATCACTGCAATCCTAGATTTCCATCATGAGAGTAAATATTGATGATGACTTAACAACTTTTTAAACCTTTAAAGTTTCAAAGGTTTAAAATTGTTTAACTACAGTGAGAACCAGAATTAAAGCTATGGAATATTAAGACAACATTATAGCAATAATTAAGTGTAATTGATGTTGATACAACGCAAAGAGTTTTACTAATGAGAGATGGATCTGTTCTTGTATCAGGTGTATTGGACTATCTAACATTTTAGTCTAAAAGTCGACATTCTATTCAGAGTTTTCAGGTTCTCACGGAACCAATATTTTCTGCAGTTTCAGCTTTAAATCTCTATTTCCTTTGCTTGTTTATCCTTATATCTCAGTATATGTATAGATATGTGCATACATACAGTGATAATCAGAAAACTCTGGAATATTACTTCGACTGTTAGACTAAAGTTATGACTTTTTATAGTCCAAAGAACATAAGGCATAGCAATTGTGCAGTGTAAATAGACCCATTTTACTTAACAAATGATTAAATAACTTAATTGTAAAACTATTAGTTTTATAACAACATTGCTTTAATGTCCTCATCCTATTCCATACTTTTCTGGTTATCACTGTAGTCCACTATATATATATATATATATATATGTTGCATATATTATATACATGTCGCATATGTCGCATATATACCTTCAATAATTTGCCGACTTCAACAAATCCTTGGAAGGAATTCTATTTCTTGGAAGAACTGCAGTTTCAACTCCTAAACTTCTCTAAATGCAACCCCTTCCTTTCCGAGAATATGGGAGGAAACATAGAAACCTTAACACCTAAAGTCTGGCCTTTTTTACAGGGTTACCCACAAAGGATGAGATTGTAAAGACGACCCAGTAATCTAAAATATGATGATTTGAAGCTTGATATTTGGTTTCTGTATTCATGATTGAGTATTTTGAGGGTTTACTTAATGATCAAGCACATAAATAAACCAGTTTTGCCTTCCAAGGAACCCTGACTGCAAAAAAAACGGACATAACCAATTCCGTACAGTCGTCTCTGAAATATCATCCTTTATGGGTAACCCTTTAGGCTAGAGGAATAGGCTCTTATAATACACAATGATTACATTATACCTTTTAAATAAAATCTGATATTTTAAACTTTGTACCCTGTCCCTGATATCTCCACGGCCAAAAATACCCCGGTGGGGGGGTGGCATTTATCTCCTGTTTGTAATTGTAATACATGTCATTTTATACATTTTTGGAAAACCCTTGCTAAAAATAGAAAATTTGCAAGTCCAATATTTATTGTAAAATCCAGTTATGTAGCAAAAATGTGTAAATAAAGAAAATTGTACAAAATATGATACTTTAAATTCCATTTTGAAAAGCCCAAAAAGTTGCATATTCATTTCACTTCACTGCAAATACATGTTATTGTCCTATATAGCACCCTCCCCCCCATTTCCTCTAACTACCGCCCAATTTGTCTTGTGCCGTGGTGATAATTATAATTCCTGTAGGACCTAACTTTAATCCAGAGAGAAATTTTCTCCCCGTAAAATGGTCATTTCCTAATTTTCAAACTTTGGGCCTACATGTTGAAATACCACATGTTATTTTACACATACTAAGTATACATCCAAAAGTTGCATCACCGTTATATAATTAACATTCCTTGAAGATATATTTATCTTCAAAAGTCGAAACTCCTCCGCAATTTTGCATTGAGCTTTAGTTTACCTAACTAGCTACATATTTTGCGTGTCTGTTTGTTTGTTTGTATCCAATAAACGTTCTTACATAGATTCAGCCTGCTTATAACATTTTAAGACAGAGTCGACTTTGAAGTGTCGTAACACCTTAGGCTTTGATTTTACCGCTCTAACTTTTTTGTAGCCTTTTAGCACATTAAAGCATTTTTTGTTAGCTTTAGTTTTTAAGAAGTATAATAGGCAAAATTCTTACGATTTTTCCTTGAGAGCTTTGTACATTTAAACTGAGCCAATCGGGCCCACGTTCTGTGTGGTAACTCAGTCGAACGATTTTGCCCGTAACAAATGTGGAAAGTATTTTTTTGATTTTGCCGATTTGAATAGAAAAATCCATTAGTATTTGGGAAAACTGCATTGGAGTACATTTTGAATACACCTGAAAAGATTGATTTACTGCACAGGTGTAAGTTTTACAAAGTATCACTGTGAACCCAAACAAATCGATTTATATGATTAAAATGGAATTATTCAGAGAAACGATTGAAACAAATTTTGAAATATTAATGGTTTGCACTATCAAGTTGCTAAGATATAGGAATTAGACAATTTAAGTTTAAGACAGAGACTCAAGTGATTCTGTACGCAAAGATGAATGCCGTCCATGATCATTGATTCAAGTATTAATTCTATATCAAAGTTTATAGATTTTAAAATTGAATATTTCAATAGTGCTTACTCTATAAAAGTGACGTGCGCATTTCTACTGAAGAAAAACATAAAGGAATTATTAGATTAAAATGCTTTTACAACAACAATATTTTACATATTATTGATCAGAAAAAGGTTTTAAGGGAATTGTAAATCTGGCATTGTAATGAGGGCCATTTGAAGTTACTCTCACAGTCCCTTTAAACAGGCTCTCCCTTTCATTCATCTCTGCCTGGAGTCTAATATGCGTGAATATGAGCGTTGTCTAAGAGAAACTTTGAGTTTGAACCTGAACCTAAATCCTAATCTATAGATCTCAGTTTCTTGTAACCTCAGGTTCAAACTTGGTTCAAACCTTTATTTACTCAAATCTATACACTGTATAGTATACAGGCTATACAGGGAATACACTGTACAACACAGTCAAAATAAATTAAATTGCACTTAAGATTGAAATGTTTTATGATTTAAAAGCATAACTCCTCTTATCGAATAGCTATTGAAAAGACTAAATAAATAGCAGATAAAGGAATAGAATCTTTACCACAAAATCTGATTTTCTAATCCCTATATATTTACAACACAATGTTGTAGACCATTGACATAGACCTTAGACATTTCAAATTATGAATTCTGTTTATCAAATAATATAAGTTTAAAATATCACAGCTGTTTACACAATCAGATATAGGGACTAGCAAAGGAATTGAGTCTTTACCACAAGCTCAAATTTTCTAATCTCTATATATTTGAAACCTTATGGTGTAAACCTTACATATTTCAAACTTAGATAATTCGCTCTGACAGGATTCATAGTTTGAAATATCTAAGGTCTATGTCAATGGGTTGCAAAGATATAAGGATTAGAAAATCCGAGTTTGTAGCAAAGACTCAATTCCTTTGAGTTTGTGGCAAAGACTCAATTCCTTTGAGTTTGTGGCAAAGACTCAATTCCTTTGAGTTTGTGGCAAAGACTCAATTCCTTGGAGTTTGTGGCAAAGACTCAATTCCTTGGAGTTTTTGGCAAAGACTCAATTCCTTGAAGTTTGTGGCAAAGACTCAATTCCTTGGAGTTTGTGGCAAAGACTCAATTCCTTGGAGTTTTTGGCAAAGACTCAATTCCTTTGAGTTTGTGGCAAAGACTCAATTTCTTTGTGTTTGTGGGAAAGAATTGGTTTTCTTAACTGAAGGAGCCACCACTATACTGTGATTTAAAGGTCTCAAGCTCTCAAGCAAAAATGGTTGAGAGTTTTGCCAATTACTTCCTAAAACCCAAAGTTAACAACAAATGCTATATATAGCGCTAAATGTACATTTAAAGGGCTGCAGAAAAGCATAAGTGAGTTAGATCGGTAAATTCAAAGCCCAAGGCGTTGAGACACTTTAAAGTTGACCCTGTCTAAGAAATTGACAAGACTTTTTATGAGTAGAGCTGAATCTATGTGGTACGTACGTACGTACATACGAATTATATTTACTCAATTTTACAGACTGTACAATATACAGTTAGGGCTGTTAATCGTTTTAAAAACGTTTGAAAAAACTATTGTTTTTCGTTTCATTTTTTTCTTCTTAAAACGATGGTTTTTGGAAAGTGAGAGGGAAGGGAAGAGGGGGCGGGGGGTAACTAGTGCATGAGATATTGGACCGAATGGCATTTGAATTTGTAAAATTTTAAGGCCATATGCTTTAACAATTGCCAGTAGATATTCAACATAATTTTGGCCTTGATTTCCATGATTATTCATGCATTAAAGCAAACGTTGAACGAAGGGTAAAATTGAATTAAAACATGCGCCGGACAAACATTCTGTACCTGACAAAATAGCCTGACATAAAGTATTTTCCAGATTTCAAAAGATATCACGGCAAACTAATGTAAATTCCACATCTCATATGTTTTCAATCATAACTCCACATCCACATCCACATAATTCCACATCCACATAATTCCACATCTTATAACTCCTTATATTATTGAATAGCTATTAAAAAATGTTTTGAATTTCTAATATGGAATACTGGATTAAAATTCTTTTCTCATTAAAGTAAACGTCTTAAATCAAAACTAGAGGAGCGACGAGGTCACAAAGTCGTACCAGTAATGTCCCTTCACGCACCTCTGCCCCTTTAGTAAAAGTAAATTGAACCTATATGAAGCTTAAAGTCTGACCGCGTCAACCTTGTTGCACCGGCTAGTCCTGTCCACAGAGCTAGGTACAGTACAAACTGGGGCTGGAAAGGTTGACCAGGCTCGGAAATTCAAATGTACTACGGCTGCCCGTGCCTTGATGTTTGTTTATTCAATTACCTTTGGAGGCGTAACAATGATAAACACTGATTCTTATCCAAATATTTATGTAGACTCACCCTATTATTTATCTAAACCAATGTACACGGAAAACTGCACATTTCTGAAAACCAACTTACAGCGATCCAATGGTTGCAAGCTCTCAACCAGAAGCTCTGTAATGTAGAGGTCTAGGGCTACAAAAAAGTTAAAGAGCACTAGTGAGGTAAATTAAAAGTCAAGGCGAAACGTCGCTTGAAAGTCGCCCTGGTCCCTAAAATTGATGCACTTTCCATAGCAGTCTAGATCTATGTGAACTTGATCAGCAAACTTTGACTGATCTATGGCTTCGGCTTCTGATCCTGTATGTCTGTATAGACCTGTAAAAAATGGAATGATGAATGAAGATTGTAAAGATGGTACTTATTGTATAAAAGTAAATTGCTAGGATTTAAATCTTATTTGTTTTAAATTAAAACTTTTCTTATTGAACAGCTTTTGAGAAAACAAAACCGTTTTGAATGTTATATATGGATAAGTTTTACCTCTTCAAATCAATATAGTTTCAGTAGAAGTAAATATTTCCATTTACTTTTTTAGCGCCGATTCAAGGATTCATAACTCTAATTGGATAATGAGATAGATAGAAAGATAGATGTTACCGCTATGCAATTTCTATTGNTCATATCTAGTGCAATTGGAGAAGCAAAGAGGTTTCGAATGCATTTTATACATACAATACATTTGACCTTTTAGTTTGCAGTAATTTGACAGCCAATTAACTCATAATATTAAAGAATTTATAATTAGCTGAATTTGAGCTTTTTCCTATTAGTCTATAAAATTTGACCTAGGCGGTAGGACATCTTAGAATATATTTTATTTAGTATTTTAATAACTCAAACATGGTATTTGTCTCTAACCGTATATATAGATGAGGGTGTACGTATTGTTTTAGCTCTGTTCAGCTATATATTTATATATATAATAGTGGGACAGTCATTTCACACTTAAATGATCCTGATTTTGGCAACATTGTGAAGAGTTACTGAGATATATCTAATAAATATGTATCTATACTTGTTTTTATACCTTCCTCTATTCATTAATCAATTAATTAAATTCATCTTTCCATCTCAGTACAGTGATAAACAGAAAACTGTGGAATAGGAAGACGACGCTTATACCTAAGTTATTACTTTAAATCGTCCTATGAGCATTTTACACAACCATTGTGCAGCGTAACCAGACCAATTTCTCTTAATTAGCTATTTAATAAGCTACTAGTAAAACTATTTGCTTGTAACACCAATATCTAAAAAACATAAGTTTTCATATTCCAGAGTTTCTGGTTATCAATGTAGTAAATGAATTTCAAGGCATAAATTAAATATTAGACTCCATCATCGATGAGAATCTATTATAAATCTATTTTTCAATGCACTGAGCGCAAGTCTCTTTTGTAGATAACCACTGATTAAAATAATTAAAATTTAAAAAAACAATGATATATCATTCATCCTTGATCAGACAAAATGAAGTCTCTTGTTAACATTATTTAAATTTATTTGATTTTCTCCTTGTCCAGCTTGTTTTGAATTGATATCAAATTACAAAGCTGAATCACTTGAACTAATATAGATAAAAACTTCCTACATCTTAAAAAATCTGAAACTAAATTCTTAAAATCAATAATTATTTTTCAAATATTTAATGCACTTTTTTTATGTTCAGGTAGACAGCTGTGTTTGTTTGACGGACTGCAGTTTTCACTGCGGAAATGAGTTTTGCAGTTGGAAATATCGATCCTGTTCTAGAGTACAGTACTTTTCTGAAAATACAATGAATTTGAAAAGTGAAAATATGATAAGGCGTGAAGATTAGAAACATGAGTGACATCAACGCGGTTTTATCGTCAGCACGATGGGCCGAGGATTCCTATTATCTCAAGGAGTTTGTTCACAAGTTCAAACTTCCACAATTGGCAAAGGTAAATTATTAATGGTTCATTTCAACTTTTAAGCAGCTAAAGCAAGCTGGACAGTATTCATACAGATTATATAAGATAAATAGGGATAGTACCGAATGAATTAAACCCCCACTAGACTGTGTTATTTTTCTCAGTTTTACCTACATTCGGTTAATTAAATACGAGGAAGAGAAAAAGTCCCGGAGCTCTACCCCAACGACAATTCAGAAGGTCTAACCTAACCTCAATAATGTGAAATATGTGATAAACGTAATGTTTAAGTTCCCCTCCAGGCAGAGATGACAATGCCTGATTCACAAAGATACCCTTAACAGCTTTGTCGAATCAAGTTTGACTTTATGTCAGTTTTTATAATTCTAAAATTTAATTCTTTTCAATTGTGGTTTCTTTACAAAAAGGATTGGCGCAGAAAACCATATTTAAATTGTCATAATTAAATGTTTTTAATCTTAGAAAAAACAACAAATAACAACCACACTATTGCTTAGATAAAATGTTATCGTATTGTTTTATTGTAAATGGCGAAATTGAAGAAAAAGAGAATAAAATAAAGTTAAAAACTGAAGTGTTAAACCCCGATTTAATGTTTAGACTGGGATTGGCAAAATAGAATTTTATGATAATTTGACTTGTTATTTGGCCAGGTTTCGTGTCTGTAACAAAAAAGCTTTCATCCAAATCCTCTTTTTTGTATAATGTTGTTTGGTTTGAAGTAGGAAACTATCGAACCCACTTTACTTATAAATACAGGGTGAACCCACTTTACTTATAAAAACAGGGTGAACCACGAAACATTACACTTTAAAGAGGATTTAAAGGTCGTCTTTTACCTTTGAATTAAATGTATGTTTGAATTTGCCTGTTTGTTAGAAGTAAAATTCTTGAATTAATAATCACCAACTTAGTCTACGCATTTACTAGATGTGGCCTCACTTTTGTATCGGGAGCTTGCACAGGATGGGGCAGTAGTCCTCTTACACCCCCTGGGTATCCCAGGGGGGCCCTGCGCCACCATGGGATTTATTGCCAAAGGTTAAAATCAGGTGCGGTGGGTTAAAAAAGATCTTGCCCTCATCTTTAAAGTGTTGTTTTCCTCAATAAAAAGGTTGACAAATTTCTTAGCGCTGCGCGCCACTTATTTTCAAGTTTTACCTTAGTATTTCCCTTTTATCTAAATTATCCTCCTCCTCCCTACTTGATAAACTATTATAGCTTTGTGCATTATGCATTATTTGGCATGTCTTCCCGCAACCCCCGTGAAGATCTAGGGGAGATTACAACAGGAGAGGATTAAGGGAGAATAAAGATGACTGAGGACTAATGATAGTCTTTAGGAGACTACTCAGGATTTCAGAGAGTAATACAGAACTATTCAAAGGGATTTGTTATAGTCCTTGAATCGGGACTACAGTGAACTACAAAGGGTGAGTATGTCTCAGGACTTTACAGAGTTATACTTTATAATATACTAGCTGAAGGGCCCGGCGTTGCCCGTGGAAAAAACTAGCCTATAACACCCCCCAGCCACCCATGAGTGTCCACAACAAATTTCAGCCCAATCAGTCCAGCCGTTTGGCCGGCTATAGACAACATATATATACGAATGTCTTGTTTTATTATATATAGTCCTTGAATTTGGGACTACAATGGGCTACATAGGAGACATGTCGTAGACTTAATATAGAATAACAGCATTTTTAAGGCCAGGGGGGGGGGGGCAAAAAAAATGGCAGACCATTTTTGTAAATGCGAGAACAATGCTAATTTTGTGATTATTGTTTATAGGACAAAAAAGTGAAAGTAGATTGATGGATGGATGCCGCAAATTATTTCAAAGATTAACGACGACCATCAAATCGTCTCTTAACTGGTATGTTTTGTGTATACCTTCACTGGTATAATTTGAATCGACGTGTGTCCCAAAGGAATTCAGTCTTTGTCACAAACTCTGATTTTCTAATCCCTATATTTTTGCAACAAATTGTTATAAACCTTAGCTATCTTAAATTGTGATCCTGTAATATCAAATAGAATTTATAAGTTTCAAATGTAAAAATTCTAAACCATTAGGTTGAACAAATATAAGTGTTAGAAAATTTGAGTTTGTCGTAAAACTAAGATTACTTTCAAATTATATTGACAACTTTAATTGTGTAATCAAATAATTTGTTTCCCATACTTGTGTGAGTAAATTTAAACGTAAAGGTGCTTATTGGTCACAAAGTCGTGCCAGTAATTTGTAGAGCGTTTTGTAATCAATACTTAGAAGTTTTAGACTCAGTGTGTAATAAATTTAATTCTAATATCCATTAGTAGAGCGTTTTGTAATTAATAGAAGTCTTAGACTCAGTAGTGTGTATAATAAATCTAATTCTAGTATCCTTTAGTAGAGCGTTTTGTAATCAATAGAAGTTTTAGACTCAGTAGTGTGTAATAAATCCAATTCTAATATCCTTTAGTAGAGCATTTTGTAATCAATAGAAGTTTTATCGTTTTGTAATCAACACTTAAAAGTTTTAGACTCAGTGTGTAATAAATCGAATTCAAATATCCTTTATTAGAGCGTTTTGTAATCAATAGAAGTTTTAGACTCAGTAATCTAATTCTAGTATCCTTTATTAGAGCGTTTTGTAATCAATACTTAAAAGTTTTAGACTCAGTGTGTAATAAATCCAATTCTAATATCCTTTATTAGCGCGATTTGTAATTAATAGAAGTTTTAGACTCAGTAGTGTGTAATAAATCCAATTCTAGTATCCTTTATTAGAGCGTTTTGTAATCAATACTTAAAAGTTTTAGACTCAGTGTGTAATAAATCCAATTCTAATATCCCTTAATTAGTGCGTTTTGTAATTAATAGAAGTTTTAGACTCAGTAGTGTGTAAAAAATCCAATTCTAGTATCCTTTAATAGAGCGTTTTGTAATCAACACATAAAAGGTTTAGACTCAGTGTGTAATAAATCGAATTCTAATATCCCTTATTAGAACGTTTTGTAATCAATAGAATTTTTAGACTCAGTGTGTAATAAATCCAATTCTAATATCCTTTAGTAGAGCGTTTTGTAATCAATAGAAGTTTTAGACTCAGTAGTGTGTAATAAATCCAATTCTAATATCCTTTAGTAGAGCGTTTTGTAATCAATAGAAGTTTTAGACTCAGTAGTGTGTAATAAATCTAATTCTAATATCCTTTTGTCCGTAGTGTGCATTGTACAATTACAACAACAATACACAGGATAGGGAAAAGATCAACAATATAGACCTGAACATATTTAGGCATTTTTTTTTCTTTTTTTATAGACCTGAACATGTTCAGACTTTCTTTTTATATAGATCTGACATGTTCAGGCTTTCTTTTTAAATAGATCTGACATGTTCAGGCTTTTTTTAAAATAGATCTGACATGTTTAGGCTTTTTTTAAATAGACCTGGACATGTTCAGGCTTTCTTTTTATATAGATCTGACATGTTCAGGCTTTTTTGTCATGTAGAGCTGGACATGTTCAGACTTTCTTTTTATACAGACCTGGACATGTTCAGGCTTTCTTTTTAAATAAACCTGGACATGTTTATGCTTTCTTTTTTTATAGACCTGGACACATTCAGGCTTTCTTTTTAAATAAACCTGGACATGTTCATGCTTTCTTTTTATTTAGACCTGGACATGTTCAGACTTTCTTTTTTAAGCCGTACGTNTCAGGCTTTCTTTTTATATAGATCTGACATGTTCAGGCTTTCTTTTTAAATAGATCTGACATGTTCAGGCTTTCTTTTTAAATAGATCTGACATGTTTAGGCTTTTTTTTTAAATAGACCTGGACATGTTCAGGCTTTTTTTTCATGTAGAGCTGGACACGTTCAGACTTTCTTTTTATATAGACCTGGACATGTTCAGGCTTTCTTTTTAAATAAACCTGGACATGTTTATGCTTTCTTTTTATATAGACATGGACATGTTCAGACTTTCTTTTTTAAGCCATACGTTAACGATTAGATAAAAAACTAAGAGTTGCCAACTTTTTAATTAACCATTTATTACCTAAAAGTAAAAACTGACCGATCTGTTAACAATATTTTCTGTATTTCTTAAAGTTCCTTTCGATAACGATCTTAAATTGTTAAATTTTTTTAGCGATTATTTTATATAAGAATTATTGTTAGTTTATTTTCTGAAAAATTAACGACTTTTGCCGTTCGTTAACAGAATCTTCCGTTATTTTTCGAAAACGTGTCGCTCTTCAATGGAAGGTTGCCCAGGTCTACTTAAAAATACTCTGGTTTGACGAGGTTTCGAATCTAACAATAGAATTGACACACTGACAATGGATTTGACAGACTTACAATGGAGCAAAGAATGGATTGAAAATGTTGGAGGGATGGATTCGTGCAGCCGTTTCTAGGTCAGCCAGGGCTAGAAAGGGTGGGTAGGATTGTACACTTCACGATTGCATCTTTTTCGTTCCATCTGAAATCTGATTTTTAATCAATGTTTAATTAGTCTTTAGGCTTTGTTTGTAACAATATTCTGGATACGCAACAATTCACACACACACATTCATATATATGTATATATATATATATAATGAAAATGTTTATATTTTTTGGTTAACTAAAAATTCTTTGTGCTTTTATATATATACACTTACTTGTTTGGAAAAATATTATTTCAGTTTTTAACTTTACTTTTCACTAAACAAAGAATTGTAAGAAACAAAGTAGTCAAAGTTTGTTGGTAGAAATAGCTATAAAGATACAATTTATTTCTGTCTAGCTTTCTATCTATTTATTATAACCTGAATTCTGTGGGTTTCAATATGCCTTCAAATATAAATGTAGGTCATGCATGCTTTGCCCGCCACATACCAAAAAATAACATGATTGAAAAGAATGTTTAATTTTCACCCCCCGACCATTCCACTGGTAATATTCTACCAAAATTATCTAATTATTGTTGGGAATTGGAAAATTGGACATATACGAGGTCCCAAAGTTGAGCTAGTATGTATTAAATCTAATATTTAGTAGTTTATCAAGCTTTAAGATTATGCATTTTGCATTCTTCGTTATCAAAGATGATTAATGCATTAAATACATACCTAAAAAGCTATTAAAACTTAATGTTGTATATACATGTTTAAGTTTTACTGACTGAAAGCTTTTTTCATTTAATTACTTGTTCATCTTGATTTACATAAAGCGAAATAAGATATCATAATTCCCATAATTCTCGTCCCATCTAATCAATAAGGTGAAAGATATTCTCGTTTTGCGATATTGAGTTTTATTCTGAAAATTTACTCTACCGTATTTAAAGCAGAAATGCGCAAGTCATCTTGAGAAAAACCATAATTAAAAATTCATCAGACATAGATAAGGGTACCGTTATAAACATACATGCCACTCTAGGATTAAAAAGTAACTTCAGATTTAGTCGTGCAGTCCCTTTAATTATTTAAAATGGCGTCAACATCAAAAACTTTATTCTGAAATTAACCCCAGAGAAAATGCCTGTAGAGTGTAAACCCCTCTATAATGTGCTTTTCACTCATGCAACCGTGCGCACACAGGCACTCCAGGCAGGTTTATACGCGCTTAAATCACTGTCCCTGTCTTTGTACTCAGTGTTCAGTGTTCTAATTTTAAATAGAACTTTTAATTTCTCTCTTTGTCTCAGAACTGTGTCTGTCACCATGCTTAAATATTCCTTATTCATTTAAAACTTAAGTAACGTTACGACCCCCTATACCCCCCCATCCCCCCTCCCTCCCCCTGGGAGGTGAGGAGAAAATAGAAATGACTGAATACAATTAAATTAATTTAAAGATTAAGAAAAGATCTAGACTAAGCATTAATATCAACCGTACAAGAGTACGTTCCCATTGCTCTGATGTTATAAAATGCAACTACATACTAAAATACATACCTTGTATTGCATCATCACATGATTGTATAAAGTTAAAAGTATGCTACGCAATTACACCTCTACACTTACTTTGTAAAATAAAGACCCGTGTGAATGTTGCAAACATTTTAAGAGCTATTGTTGACAATGAAGTCAATTATCATCTTAATTATTTCGATACATGAATTTTTAAAATGTAATTAAAAAATCAAGTTATCTTCCACATTTTTGATCAAAATAACGTTTCACGGGTACCATAGTAAATCGGGCATTGCTTTCTTTGCAGTTATAATTACCGTCACACCCTCAACAAAGCTATAGATACTGCAGAAAATCTGCAGTACACTGATCTCGAAGATATAGTATGGTTTAGTGGGGAGTCAAGTTTACAATAGTTTTTTTTTCTTTCCATAAAACTGATAAATATAAATATTTTAGGTTGTGAAAGGACAGTATTTAAGCCTAGGCGTGTCTACCCTATCCAGCCCCTCCCTACAGTCTACAGTTCTCCTCTGCCACGCCCCTCCACGTTCCGCCCTAGTGGCTCAATCAGTCAAATTCAAGGAAAATTTAAAAACTTATAAACTTCCCTCCTTAATACATATTGGTCAGTATATATATCAATACAGTGTTTGTTACTGATATGGTGAAACCGCCCTGTGCCGGAATCTAAAATATATGCATCCTTTTTATATATTAACATTTTAGTAAATAATTTTAAGTGTTGATTATATGTTGATCACGGTATAACAATTATTGTTTAGAACATATTTCTTGAATTGTTTCCTGGAATATTATTTTCTCAAAAAAAGAATTAATCAATATGTTTAAGTTGTGCTTTAATACACATATATAGCCAAAGACAGCTCTCGACATGAAAACATCGATGAGAGTTTTTCCAATTACTTCTTTAAAATTAACGCTAAAAAGTGCTTCATATTTCTAACCTGTGCAAGTAAAGGGCTACGAAAAGGTTAGTGAAATGAAGTTAAAATCCAAGGCGTTACAACACTTCAAAGGTTAACCAGTCATGACATTTAATGCACCTTTTCATAGCAGTTTTTTTTGTGCTATGTCTTAATGTAAAGTTCTTTTAAATGATCTAAGTTGTTCAGTTTCAAGTTTTGGATTGTAAAGGATGGAAAAAGAGTAGTTGGTGTGGGACCTAAGCTTGCCATTCCACAAACTTATGAGGGATTTTTCGAGATTCTTAGGTAAACATTTATCTTTTATAATCAACAATAATTATTTTAAAGCAAATAAATAAAACGTTAAATATGATGAAAATTAGATAATGATAAAAATAATAATATGATGATGATGATGAAAATAATACTAGTGAGGATGGTCGAAGTGTAAGATGTATCGAGGGGGTGGCTGAGCTCGCCAGAAGGTTCCCAGAAAGTGTGCTAGTCAGGGATAGTATGAAGGCATTTGTATCAAGAAACGACGACATTGAGACAATTCACGACAAGTCAAGAATTATTCAAGCTGGAGAAGTTCTAATTTTAGTCGGAGAAGTTCTTGGAGTCAAGGGGAAAAATCAAACCAGATACCTCAGGTTAGATGTGTCCACTGTCCACTCTCCAACAAACCCCAATTTTTTTCTTTGGTCAGAATACTTCAAATTACAGCATCAACTACCTCAGTTAATATTTACAGGGATACCCACAAATAGTAAGACTGTAAAGACGACATTTTTCGTATTTGCTGAAAACTTTATATTAAAGTTTCTTGATGCAATTCGTTGTTAATAGGTTTACGTTAAATACGTGAAATTAATAAATAAATTTCTGTTTAGATGTATAGACAGTGAAGGGGAAAATATTTACCTGGGTTTAGAAATGAAAGGACGATTTAGTGCTCTAGCCAAGGAAGAAAATATCTCCGGAGTTCACAACATTAAAAACCTGATGAAAAAAAGACTTCCGCTGATGGTGCGCATAGCACACGGCGCAGTGCCGGTCGGTCTCAGATCGCCACAGGTGATTAATTTAGTTTATTTTAAAGGGACTGTAAGCGTAATTTCAAGTGACCCTCTATGCAAAGATAGCAGTGCCCTTTAAAGCTTTATCTGATCATGCAAGCATGATGTTTAACATTTTTAAATGTGATTTCTTTACAAACGTAAATTGCGCATTTCTGCTGCATTTACTATATGAATTATCTGAATTATCAGAAGTTTACGCTTTTAAACAAAAAACGGCTCTATTGATTAGATACAGTTTCAATGTTATTTTCCACAAAAATAAAAATCTTTTTTTTTAATCCTTACTTTTAGGAGGATTAGATTAAACAAAAAACTTTATTTATTTCTTCAATTATTGAAATGGTTTACAATATTTTAGATGTTCCTTCCTGAGTTGCGGATTTTGGGAAAGGTAGAAGATGGGGGCATCATGGCCTTGCCCTTGAGTAAAGACAGTAACATAGTCTATCTTCCTTTACCTTCAATCATCAAGCTTCAACCAGTTTTAAACAGTCAATATATTTCAGGGATCAAATCTTTGCCAAGTTTAAAAATCCTTTCTTTATATTCTTATACTTTATATTGCTATAGGCTTCTTCTCTTTGTACAGTATAAAACAAAAACAAAAAAGTTCACTGATTCAATAACATTTTTTTGGCGCATTTTCAAAATTTAACAAAAATCAAACAATTCTGGACACACATTTTTGTAATTTTGAGCATCCATAAACTGTCCCTTGGGTCATGAGAGGTCCCACACAAAAGTTGGGCCCGATCGGTTCAGCCGTTTCGACGATAATTGGATACAAACGGACAGACTAACAGACAGACAAGCAAAGTTTATATTTAGTAGTTAATTTAGGATTGGGAGGGTCAGGGGAATAACAATTTGTATGTGTGTTTGTCTGAAGGATAAAAACTTATAAACCCTTGGACCGATTTGCTTTTAAAATTTGATTAAGAAAGTGACAGATTTTTGTATCAACTACACGCAATTTTACTTACTTTCAAGATTATCTTTTTTATAATTATCTCTATTACCAAAACCAAAATCGAAACGTCATATTTAAAAAATTTCAGGTTCGTCATAGTGAGTAACCCTGTATATAGATAAAGCAGAGATAAAGACATGAATATGTATAATAGAGGTCAAGAATACAGATTCGCTGCATCAAGATATGGAGAAAATATATAATTTATTTCAAACAAACCATTCATCTAACTATTTGTAGCTAAGGGCAAAATTGACTGGCTGGCTCAATAGGCATAGAAGGGGGGGGGGTCGTGGGTCATGAAAATAGGCAAATTGGGTTTAGAAAAAATATGTGCAACAGATTTTTGATCCAGGCATGTCGGAGGTCAAACGATTGGAGGATAAAGTGAGGACACAGGTAAACTAAATATTTTTTTTTTTATTAAATTGAGTGTTTGCCAAAACTCAAATCTTCCAATTCAAATATCTGTATCATTCTGATAGTGTAAACCTTAGATATTTTAAATCGATTTTTTGATCTAACAGAATTTACAATTTGAAATATCTAAGGTCTACAACATTGGGTTTCACAGATATAGGGATTTCATGTTTCTTTTTTCATCGTCTTAACCCGTGATGGTCTAAATTTAAAATTTAAACTTTTAAAATTTTTTAAAAAGGTTTTTTCTTTGCTAGTTGGAGGCTCAATGGGACAGCATTGTAGTGTATGATATACCATTACCAAAAGATATTCAGAAAACCCCTGGAAGAAAATCTTCTTTACCTCATAATCTTATACCATCTTCTATATTACATAGATATTTAGACCTATCAAGAGGGGGGGGGGTTTCAGTTGGGTTTCTTCTGAATAATTTAAAAACGGGTTACATTAGAACACTAAAACTTCTTTACTTTTTCATTACAATAGTTTTGAACAAATTTTGTTAATTTTCTTTTATGCATAGCGTATGGTGGAGGACGGTCAAATGGCGGGTCGGTGTTTAAAAAAAATTAGAAATGGTTAATAACTTTTTTATTAATTTCAGCGAACGAAACGTTTCGAAAAAAATACCAAAATTTTCAATCGCATTTTATAACTTTTATTTTATTTATAATTTTTAGCGTAATTTCGCAAAAATAAAAGAAGCGAAAACAAAGTGAAATTTCGCGAAAATGCGAAGATTTCGCAAAAATGCGAAAATTTCGCGAAAATGCTAAAATATTTTCGCAAAATGCGAAAATTTTGTGAAACAATTAATAACTCAAAAGAACTTGTGGAATTCTCTGCTCTGATAGCTTAATAATTGAAGTTTAATTATGTCATATAAATAATTTCTCTTCCTTTACTTTAATAAATGTTTGATGAAGAAAATTTGTTTTCAGCTATCTTTTTAAGTTTCTGCCTATCCGTCGATACAATACATACGTTTAATTTTCGCATTATTTTTCGTAAAATTTTCTTATTTTTTTCACGAAAATTTGAGCATTTATTGCGTGCGAAAGAAATGCAAAAAATGAAGCAAATGGTCACGAAAAAAAAATTTCGCGAAAAATGCAAAATTTTCGCAAAACAATTTTTCCTTTTCGCTGGAAACCCTAGCTACAGGACTAAAACTTACATATTAAAAAGTCATTGAAAATGGATAAAATAACATTTGTCATATGTTAATATTTGTCAAAAGTAAAAAAAAACTATTTTGAAAAGGGCAAACTCATAGGGGGGGGGGGTTAACCCGTGGTTATGTAAAATTTTAATTTCCCTAAAAATGCGCAAATATTATCACGAAAATTTCGCAGAACGGGTGGTTATTTTATTTTATTGGGGACGTCCAAGTAATTGTAAAAATTTATTTATTTAAACCATTTAACAAAGAGATTTGAAAGAACCATTTTTGTCTTGATGAATAATTGTTTAATTTGCATATTCCTAGTTATACATATATCATTATACAATATATACATACTGACATTAGCATTCAGCAAAATAGATTAGACAATTCATTTTGAAAAATCTAAACAAAATGTGTGGCTTAATATTTGAACCGTTAAGTATACTATCCATTGGATTTTTCGATGATAAAAAATTGTTTGATGTAAGATTAAAAAAACAATCTTTCTCAATATTTTCAATGGATCTTTACTATCCCAACTCTTCTGAACTCAGTGCTAATGACTATTATTTTTATTTAGTTTGACAAATCATGCTTATCTTAGTGATTTGCTCTACACATAATATCAAAAACTAGATGCTTTGTGACTTAAGAAAAAAAGATAAACATATAGAAATCAATTTTTTTGTCTTCTTTAACATTTGAGGACGGGAAGTGTAGCCCCCCCCCCCCTCCTCCTTTGTCCGGATGTGCAATGGATGTATCCGGAAGCATCGACCAGGCTTGAAAGAATTAAGGATTTATTATGAAGCTCACGCGTTGGTTGTGGGAATCCATCGACATTTGGACATATGGCTTCAGATATTTTTATATTTTTGTTAATAAAACATAATCTTCGAAGAATACATTTTTAATATTTATTTATTAAAGTACATACAGTGCAAGTATGAATACAACATGTATTTAAAGATGAAATAAAAACTAAAAAAAATTATTGTGAATCGGGCATTGGCATCTTTGCACAGAGGGTCATCTAAAATTACACTAACACTCCAGCTTTGAAGTTTAAATATTTAGCTTTTATAATTCTATTTTTTTTCTAGGATATCAAACGTAGCAGTGTTTATGGCATTATGACAAGTAGATCAGATAGTGGTCGGCCAGATGATTATGATGAAATCGATCAAATTTACGATTATGTTCGCGGATTTGCACCTCTCCCCAAATCTGCGAAAGGATGGCATTTTATCGGCGAGGCAGTGGAGGACCGAAAGGAAAGATCTGACGAGCGAAAGGAAAGAAAAATATCAAATTCAGATTTTTTACAGGTACACTGAGAACCAGAAAACTCAGGAATGGAATTACGACTTTTAGACTCAAGTTATGACTTTAAATGAAGTCCAATAAACATAAGACACTGCAATTGTGAAGTGTAAACCCACCTAATTAACTTTATTTAATAAGTAACTTAAGTCTGTTTGCTTTTTAACGCCATCAACACTTCAGTATTGCTATAAAGTCGTCTTCATATTCCACAGTACTCTGGTTCTCACCGTATATCTCGAAAAAATAAAGAGACATTTTCTCACATAGAGATATTAACTTTTTGCCATGTAGAACACTGTTCCTGTTAGAGATACAGAGAGTACTCCCCCTGAACCCCCTCCTATTGAAACTATCCCATCCAGAAGATTATCCGCAGCCCTAGACCTAACTCCGACCCCCCCAACCCCTAATAGCACCACATGGAGTTCACCAGTCACTAGTCCAAACGCACTCTTAAATGGTGCGGTCAACGCTCCAATCATCATGAACCTAGAACGCCCCCAATCTACAGATCCACGGTTATTCATCAAATCGGCGGAAAGTAAAAAAAGAGTTCGGCCGAAAACCGCCGATATTTCGAATTTAAAGGAGGACAAGACTAAATCTGTTTATCCCCCAGCTAGATATATTAAATCTGCGAACAAGCAGAGCAGCGGGAAACATAAATTCTTCAAGGTTCGGAGCAAAGATCCCCCGCCTCCGATGGGAACCTCTGTTCAGGCTAAAGAGGTTAAATCCAACCTCCAACCCTCGTTTTTCAACCTCCGGTACAAGAGCCTAAATAATCTTTCCCAACAGGTATTTGAATTGCTAATGATATATCAGTAAGCTCCAGTTCGTTTTCGTTGTGTAGTACAAATGGAGTACCGTCTGCAAAGCATGAATAATCATATGGTAGGGCGGGCCGCGTCAGTTGTATCTCCCTTCTATTTCATACTCCTTGTGTATACCCCAAAGTTTTGTGTTGCACCATTGTCTTATAATTAAAAACTTGACATATGGGTGTACCCCATAAACCATAGTTACTTACTTAGTTACTACTTGTTTTACGCGGGCGATAAAAAATATTTAAATGATACAGTAAATAAGCAATACATCGAAAGAATTCATCAAATTTGTTCTTTTTTAGTGAGTGGGGAGGGGGTTTATCACTAAAAAAATAGATTTCACTGATCATGGGGGAAGTGGCTCAGCCCCCCCCCCCTTAGTGCGCCTCTGATACTAATTTGTTCAATGAATGAATGAATTAATAAATAATTACTGCACACACTGGATGACAAACACAAACATATGGTCATCTAATGATTATAGTGTGAGACATGAACAAATAGAAGCCTTAAGGCATGCAATTAAATATGTCATTCTTTTTCAGAACATACAAACCTAGTCTGACCATACACTGACAAAAAATGTAAATAAAAATTCGTATTTTAAAGGGACTGTAAGCGTAATTTCAAGTGATCCTCAATTCAAAGATGACAATGCTCCGTTCCTAACGGTAAACCCATTATCCTTGATGTTTTCCTCGAGTGGACTTTCGCAATTCTCCTTTGAAGAAAACCCAACATTGAAACCAAGCTTTTAAGGATACCGTTGTGAATCGGTATTGCCATCTTTGCATGGAGGATCATTTGATATAACTCTTTATCTTTAACTTTAACTTTTAACGCTTTATTTAGATTTATTTCAATAGCATTTCACAACATTTATGTTGATTATTCTGAAAGTCTTTTTATTCAAAAAAAAAAATTCTGAATCGTGGATTAAAAATAAATTATCCAGGAATACGATACTTTGGACTCCTCCAACTCTGGAGGAAAAACTTCATTTGACTCTGCAGGATCTAGAAACATCCCGGAGAAAAGGAGCAGGAAACTTACCCGTCCCAGGTAATGTTATTAATATCCTTTATTTTTCTTCAATTTTAATCAAATTTCTTAGATTTCAGAACTGCACAATGTTAAATGTTAAAACGACATTGTTTTTTGTTTATTATGCCAAATTTAACCATAAAATACCTAAAAGACTTTAATACTAAAAGTTTTTACTTCAAATTACACAATATTAACATTCATGTCAATTAACGTATTAATGTAATCTAACTGATAATAATCTTAGGTCACTGACAAATCTAGTTTGGGACTTTAGAGTACAACATACTATGCTTAGGGAGGCATTATTTTTAAATTTACAAAATAGAAAATAAAGTTACCAAAAATCGAGGTGATATTGATGTTTATTTTTAAACTTATTGGCTCAAAATCATGTTTTAAACTTTGACCATCAAGTTCTACATAATTCAGAATTTAAAATATCCAAGTTAACAAGAAATAAAAGAGTAAATCAGTGTCTTTTCATAAAATAGTTAACTTCAGGTTCAGATAGTTGTCATTCATAAAAAAACCTCATAAATAAAAAAAATGCTCAAATTTTAGTAGAAGCAATAGTAAACCAAGTTTACTGGTTCCTGATAAGGGTCGGCAGGAAAGTAAAGGTTGGCAAGATGGAAAAGTTCGAAGAGGTAGAGAGCCCTCTCCTGGAGCGATTAGAAGAATTGGAGGGAGCAGTATGACATCAACACTATATTTGTAGAACAAGAGCTTATATGTACTTACTAGGTAAAGTTTTCGTTAAAGGGACTGTAAACATAATTTAAAGTAAACACGGCAATCAAAACAATCGATTCACAATGGTACCCTTAAATAATAAAGTATTTATAGATATGTATGTTTTTAATTTTGAGAACAGATTAATTCCAATTGTGGTTTCTCTACACAAGTGACCTGCGCATTCAAACTGCGGGAAAACACGAAGGATCGATCAGAATTAAAGGATACCATTGTGAATCAGTGACCCCTCTTTGGATGAGGGGTCACTTAAAATTCATTAAATCATTTTTATGTCGATCTGATAAATGCCTGAAAAATCAATGTCAAAGAAAATCAAAGCTGAATGATTGACTGCACTGCATGGCCAAGTAAGCTGAAGAGAATTATAAAAATAAAGTTTTGCTTGTTCATCTGTTCAATCCCCCCCCCCTTATATTTTATATGATCATGTGTGTGTGCGCATTATGAAATAAAATACAAAGTGAAATTAAATACAAACCACTGCATACCAAGCTGTGCTCACTTTCACGCTAAATTCAAACAGTATTTTGCCAATTACTTCTTTTCAACTTAAGTTAAAAAACAAATGCGTTGTTTTTTTATAAAGTGTGTATGTTTAGGGCTACAAAAAAGTATTAGCCTTGTGACTTGCGTTATTCAAGTTCGAGGCTGTCTACTTTGATAATTCATTTTCAGAGATGTTTTTATTTCCCCGAAGCGTTAATATAAAGATCCCTTTTGTATTCTCCTTGCGGTAATCATCATGGGAAACCATCTCCATTTCCGTGGTTATTTAAGGTCTGTTGGTTTTGAAGGATGGAAGAGTTTAATGTGTAAAATTGCAAGGTTAAAACTTTTGAAGGGTTTATACACGTTAAACTAATGTAGAATGCACGTTTTAAATCATAACTCCTCACTACTCAAATATTAGGTCTTTTCGATAAGAAAAATAAATGCAAGAGGAAAAAATTGGCTTGGATTCTAGGCTATTTAGCCCTATGCACATGAAGAAATATTTAAAAAAGCACATTTAAGTTTCTCCCATGGTCAGATTTAGATAGATAGAGTTTTCAAAACATCTAAAAATTATCTTATAATCTTGATAAACAGAGTTGGTAATTCGTTCGGTAAATACTCCTGTTGGTTTTGTTTTTACTATTTTCTACAAAATCAACCCATAATTGTTAATATTATGGCCTTTTCAGTCTAAAAATAGGAAAAAATAATTCTTATCTTTGCCACTCATTAAAAAACACATAAAGATAGATGATGATTAAAATGGTGAATTTGTTTATCATGGCTTTAAGATAAATTACAAACGTTTTAAAAGTTCTAGCTAAAGCTGACCGTGGGAGATGCTGAAATCTTACATTTACATTTGCTCAGAAAGTAAAAGATAAATAACAGAGGCAAAAAATTACTGAGGAGTTTTTCTAAATGTACAGGATAAAATCAAATTTTTTTTTATAATAGACGTAATAAAAAAACGAATAAGCGCTTTCTTGTTAGAAATATCTTCTTAATCTAAAAATTTAGATATATGGCAATTACATTTTGTGCAAAACCTTGAAAACATTAGTTTCGGTAATTTATTTATATTTTTCTGAATAACATAGAATCTTTGTTAAATCTAGAGGTCAAACTTAACAAAGCGTAACAAATCTTATACCATCTTCTATATTACATAGATATTTAACCCTATCACGATGGGGGTTTCCATCCCCCCCGTGGTTTCTTCTGAATAACTTAAAAATGGCTTACACTGGAACATTAGAATTCTTCACTTTTTCAACCAAAAAGTTGTAAACAAATTTTGCTAATTTTTTTGTGCATAGGGTAGGGTGGAGGACGGTCAAATGCGAAAATATTTTCGGGAAATGCGAAAATTTTGTAAAAACCATGACAAAAATTAATTGCTCAGAAGAACTTGTGGAATTCTCGACCCTGATAACTCAATATTTGAAGTTTTATTATAAATATAAATAATTTCTCTTCCTTTACTTTAATAAATGTTTGATGAAGAGAATTTGATTTTATTAGCTATCTTATTAAGTTTCTTGCCTGCCCATCGACACAATACATATGTTCCCTTTTCGCATTATTTTTTCGTGAAATTTTCTCATCATTTTTTTCGCGAAGACTTCGCATTATTTTTATTGTGAAATTTTCGCAATATTTTTTCGCGAAGTTTTCGCATTATTTTTTTCCGAAATTTTAGCTTTTTTCACGAAAATTTCGCATTTTTTGCAAGCGAACACAATGCGAAAATGAAGCGAAATGGTCGCGAAAAAAATGCGAAATTTTCGCAAAACGATTTTTAATTTTCGCGGGAAACCCTAAGCTACAGGAATAAGACTTAAATATTTAAAAAGCCACCATATTAGACAAAAAAAAAGCCCAATCCGGAAAGGGTTAAATCATATAGTTAAAGAGATTGTAGATGATATTTCAAAAGGATAAGGCATTTTGACAAGCGGTACCAATATCAATATTAAGTTTGACTTTTAATTTATTAATTACGAGTTGGGTGCTAGATTGTAGGACTCCCTAACCGCATGATTTTATTTTATTTTATTTAATATTAGGAAAGATTGTACAAAAGATTTAATTTGTTTTAGTTTGTGTATTTTCAATGTTAAATCATTGTACATTATATAATTAGGTGTTGACAGTTTAACATAATGATTTGATTTATATCAAAATAATTTGTCATGTCTGGTGATGAAACTAAACAACGCGTAAAGCGTGGCACTGAGCTTTAGTTCTCGGTCGTCTTTGTTTTCTGGTCGAAACAAGCACTAATACCACATTTTACACAATGCACCTAGTATATATTAACGTAACTTCCTAGTTCTAGACCACTGATTTAGGATAAACTTTAATAAAATAATACCGTTCTTTCTTGGATCAAGGACGGGACATATGATTAAGACTGACAAGTTATATAAATTATCAAGACGGGACTTTAAAGTGTTGCATCGCATAGGGCTTTGATTTTGACCGCACCAACTTTTTTTGTAGCCCTCGACTTCTCTCTGCTGTTCGTGGGACTATGGAATGAGAAATACATTGGTTAAATAGAAAGTAGTATACTCTGTTTGCTCGTTTGTTTAATTATTAGTCCGATCACAACTCAGAAACCCTTTAACCGATTTGCCTCAAATTTTGATTTTGAAATTCTTAGTTGGGATTAAAAGTGTTGAGTGGCCTGGGCGACTCTTGTAAAGCAAACTTTGCTTTTTAGTCCAAGTGGGGCCGGTTCCCAAGCTCTAATCAAATCAATTCTTTTTATATTATTATATACAATGTACAAATATATTATATTATTATATGCAATGTACAAATAATTTATATTATTATATACAATGTACAAATATATTATATTTTTTAGATGAGATGCAGGAGACGAGGGAACAGAGATTTGAAATATGTTATATATTTCTCCTGCTCNCAAGGTTTAGTTTAGTCCAAGTGGGAGCTTGGGGTTCCCAAGGTTTAGTTTAGTCCAAGTGGGAGCTTGGGGTTCTCAAGCTCTAATCAAAACAATTCTTTTTATACTGTATACACAATGTACAAATAATTTATATTTTTTAGATGAGATGCAGGAGACGAGGGAACAGAGATTTGAAATATGTTATATATTTCTCCTGCTCAATTTATACTCAAGTTACTGCAGGGTGTCCCCATAAACATGGGAATTCAGAGACGAATACTAAATCGTCTTTGTTAAGCTTTAGCGTTGAATAATGCCTAATTTCAATGGTCAAAATAGATTTAACATAAACAAGCTAATTGTTAACACTAGCAGACGAGAAAAGCTTTCCTATGTAGGCATCACCATACTATAAATAAAAAAATTACTTCAAAGACGATATCAAAATCGTCGCTCAATGCCCATATTTATTGGGACTCCCAGTAGATACGTAGTTACTCAGTGATTTGCGCACTGAATCTTTACATTAGTATTCTAAATCATAAAGGGACTGTACGGTTAATTTCAAGTGACCCTTCATGCAAAGATGGCAATACCCAATTCACAACGGTACCCTGCACAGTTTTGTCTAGTCAAGATTGAATAAGAAATAAATGTTTATAATTTTGAAAGCTGATTATTTTCAATTAATTGCGGTTTCACTAAAAAACTGACTTGCGCATTTCTTCTACGGCAGGAAAACATAAAGGAGAAAACAGAATTGAAAATGTTAAATCTCGAAAATCGATCATCTATTCCACATTGCTGATCGAATAAATGTTTCAAGGGTACTGCTGTGAATCAGGCATTGCCATCTGTGCATGGGAGATCTGTTCCACTAACAATGTTACTTAATGGTTTTTGTTGGCTAGGAAAATTCTTTAAAATGTTCATTTAAGTAATTCAGTTAGACTCGATAAGCCTGACACAATTTTAAAATCACAATAAGTCGTCTTTTCTATGATTAACTTATGATAAACACTACACTTCTCATATTGATATCAAACCATTTTAACAAGTACAAGAGACAGTAACAATTAAACGGAATTAAATCTTTGCCACAAACTCAAATTTCTACTCCATATATCTTTGCAACCTGATTGTGTAAACCTGTTAAATTTAAATCTTTTTTTTTTAACAGAATTCATAGATTGAAATATTGTAGGTCTTCGACTTTGGGTTGCAAAAATATAGGGATTAAAAATTCAGAGTTTGAGGCAAAGTCTTAATTTCTTTGTCTCATTCTTTAAACTTTGTATTATTATTGATCCCTGTGCTAATAAACATTTGAAAGTTTATCTAACTGAACAAAAACATTTCACACGAAATTTCCATTTTTATTTTCCAGTTTTCAATTTTTTTACAACGGAAGGAAATCAAAATAAATTTATCTGATAGTGCTGTGATTTTTTTGACTTCTCAGACTACCTTTTTGGCCAGTTGTAAGACTTAAACAATCTACAGTTTTAGTTCAGATATTAAATGTAGGCCAAAAGGAATTCAGAGAAAATTTAAAAAAATAATATGTAAATTATGTTAATGAAATAAATCAAGAATGTTGACAAAGTTATATAATCTAGGGATGCACATTTTTTTATAAGAAATGAAAGATTGTTTTTGTTTTGAAGCGAAAGAAATTGAGTCCTTGTCACAAACTCAAATTTTCTATTTATTATACCATTGCAACCTAATAGTGTAAACCTTTGCTATTTTATCCTTAGATTTTTTAATTTAATAGGATTCATGTTTTGAGATATCATAAGGTCTCCAACACGGGGTTGCAAAGATAAAAGGATCAGACAATCAGAGTTTGTGGCAAAAACTCAATTCTTTTTACAAGATGTATTTCACAGAGTCAATATCACTCTCTGACCATCGCAATGCTTGTATCCTGGTTTTCAAGTACCCCATCAGAGTTAAAGGACTTTAGAGAGAAATAATGAACATACAGAGGGATTCATTATAATATAAAATCCTAGAATTGGGACTACATACAGTGGTGGGTCAATAAAGATAGTTAAAGGGAGTAACCGCTTAGACATGGTATGTTGAGCTGAGAGTGCAGTATTGTAGAGACATTTTTTAAGATATATTTTAGAATTTTTTACAGCACATAATTGCTGAATAAGAGCGTAAACTTGATCTTTGAGATTCTTCGGGATTGTTCATTTTGAAGGATACATTTTAAGAAAATTTTTTTATTATTATTCAATTTAATTAGTGATGGGCGGTGACAACTTAGAAGTTAAAATATGACAATCCTTAAATTAAATTAAACCTTCCATGCGCGCCTTGAATATAGTATTTTATTGACGTGTTTAATGTCTTGTTAATATGACAATCCTTAAAATAAATTAAACCTTCCATGCGCGCCTTGTATATAGTATTTTATTGGCGTATTTAATGTCTTGTTAATTAACTAAATATTGTAGGAAATAAGAAACTTACGGAAAAGACAATATAAATTCCGTACAGTCGTCTCTAAACTCTTATGCTTTCTTATCTACTTTTTAGTTTTAACTGCAAAGTGAATGTTCCCCCTTTGAACAATAAAAATGATTGAAATAGCCTTGACCGAGGGGAGGAAGGCCAGCCACAACAACTTATCGTCCGAGCCACATTCTCTTCATTTTCTCGTCCGAACCACATCGAAATCCTCGTCCTTCGATTATTATGTGTTTCTAATTCTAATTCTTGTAGATAAAACTATTTTAACAAATCTCATCCTCTGCCACGTTAGCGCATACAAAATGGAAAGACTAAAGTTTTCACTATAATTAACACCAGGAATATTTGAAAATGCATTTAAAAAGGTGAACATTTTTAAGAACATAGAACTCGAAAACTTCAATTCAATTGAAATTTTTTTTTTCGATTCTTAAAAAATAGTTTTATCCATGGAGGATTAGACACTTTTGGGAAATAATATTGGAAGGACTAGGATTTAAAGGGGGCTTGGACGAGAAAATGAGGAGAATGTGGCTCGGACTAGAAATTTTTGTAGCTGGCCTTCCTCCCCTCCTTGACCAGTCCGTGTTAAAGAATTACAAAAAATATAATTAAGAAATTATAAAAGGAGGGAAATAGAAAGGAAATTAATTTTATGGAAGGGAAAATAACATTAAGGGGACAAAGTACATTTCAGCTGATTACTTTTACTTTAACATTAAAAGAACGACAAAAAACATTAAATAAGCTGGATTATCAAAATATTTTTGTACTAGGCTTTACCCCTTTTTTGACCAGTAATGACGGAATAATACTTATTTTTCAACTGAAATTTGAGTGCTTACTTGTTGTATCCGAACGATCACTTTTTCAATCGAATTTTGATATAAAATATTCTAAATTCTAGAAACTTCAGTAAGGAAAATATGTGCCGCTAATTTCAATAACCCTATAAAGGCTGGGGGGTCGGCATCTATGTATAGCCGGGGGGGGGGCTTTTGGCGCCCCCCCCCTACATTAACCCTACATGTTTCTACATGCATTTTTCAAGGGCTTTGCAAAAATATAGTTTTTAGATCTGTAGGTTTTGTCACAAAACAGTTATGGGATCTTTTAGATTTTGTTTCAGAGACCGGACTTTTTTTCGCTCTGTACCCAACCCTATAAATTATATTTTAGAAAAATGTTAACAAAAAATCCTTTAAATTACTATTGATATTTGTGTGAACCTTGCGTTCCTGTGGGACAGATACCGGAGAATAAATTGAATGAGCCGTATCCGGATTGATACTGGCTATGGTATTCGGGTGAACCTTGAATTTCTGATTAAGTTGTACCTGGATTGATACGGGTCTGAAATGAGTTTTAGGAGTAAGACATTTACTACGAGGTTTCTTATTTGCGTACGTTTAACTTGGATTTGCTATTTTAATCTGCAAAGACAAAGCATAAAGTTTTGCTAGATACTTATCAAATCACTGATTAAGTGAAATTAGTCTGTTTACTCTGAAAAGTTGATGTGTCCTTAATTATTTGACTATTTCAAGTCATTCCTTGAGTCTAAAGGTCGTCTTCATATTTCAGAGTTTTCTGGCATCACTGTATGCATTAAGCATCATTGTTTGAAAAGAATTGTTATGTCAAATGCTTGAAGGTAAAATTATAAATTCAGTTTACTTCATTATTAACTATTAACTTTATCGTATTTTATTAAACATTCCGAAAACAAGCAAATATCTGAGACTAAATTTAAGAGAAAAGGAAATCTATAAAATCGGATTTTTTTCCAATTTCTTATTTCTACTGTTTTTCTCAAGGTTTATTAGATCACGATATACAATGGTTTAATATTGACAAAATGTCCGATAAAAGAACAGAAAATCTTTAACTTACCATTTAACCCTATTCCCGCTGGGGGGGGGGGTCAATTTGACCCCCCCCTGTAGTTTTTTTTACATAACTCAAAAAGTATTGGTCTGAGGCTGTTGAAATTTTCTGACTTTTCTTACATACCCAAAGCCCTCCCTTTAGGCCTAAAACCGGGCTTTAATACTAACTGCCTGAGTCCTCAGGCACACTGCCTGAATGACTGCTTTTGCCTGTAGCAAACTAAATCTTTGTTTTGACCCACTTTCACTTGTCAGATTTTGATAAAATTTAGCTTTTTGGAAAGCCTATGACATAAGGAAACGGATTGCACAAGTTTTGCGAAAAAAAAATTGCAAATTTTTTTCAAACAACCTGTCAAAGGAAATTTGCACATTTTTAGTTTTTCTTGATTAAAAATCAGGTTATTTAAAATTTTGCAAAAATTTTTGCATATTTAAAATGGCATGGTCAAGGGATTTTCAAAAATGTATAATTTGTCATTTTTTGGACAAATTTTTTTTGCAAACATTTTTACTATAAAACTGGATTTTGCGATAAAAAATTCAATTTTCGCAAATTTGCTAATTTTTTTGCAGATTCTAAAAGTAGAGCACAAGAGCTTTCTAATGATGTATCATTTGTCATATTTGGACATAAAACA